ATTTTTCTAACTTTGCATGGAAGTTCAGTTTGGAAAATAAATATTGATTTGGTTTAATTTAAGGTACTCCCGTAGTATGTGAACCAAGATGGCGGACATCGGAACACAGTATATGTATCAGGTTGAGGTTGGGCCATACTTTCAGGTACAAATACTACAGGAGTCACTTGGCTGGTCCCCGAACTCGTAATCGAACTAAAACAAGAAAAATTGGAATAAAATTATGGCCCAACCCTAACCTGGTACACATACTATGTTCGGGTGTCCGCCATCTTGTTACACATACTACGGAGCAGCGCCAATTTTAATTTTTGCAATTCACATTTGAAAGCTCAACTTTTGTTAGAACCAAATTTTTAATACATCTGTACTTGATATTACTTAGTTGAGGCCCCAGTCAATCCTTATAACAATTGTGCATATTTTAGAATATTTAATCAGAAAACTTACTTATCTGGACCTCCATGTTTGTTAGTCTTATGAGGAATTTCATCATTCCATATTATCTCTCCTCGGCTGCTTCCAATTATCTGAATCTTGAAGAGCAATCCTGCATTGAATGCTTCCTGAAGCAAGCCTGTTGTGGAATAGTACCAGAGAGGCAAATATTCAGTGAACTTCTTTGCTTCATATGAAACACCCTGCAAAAATAAACGCAATAAGTTATTCAACTTCTATCTCTGATAATTTATTAAAACTGATATAAACACAGGCAGGGATGGCCATTTCCGAATACTAAACTATTCCGAATACATTCTAAAATAATGTTTTCGAATCTGGAATTCCGAATACATTCTAAAATCAAAAATAACACATTTTTGTTTTAGTTGATTAAAACCCAGTAAATTAGGAAATAAGCTTCAATAGAAATATCAGAATGAAGCCACAAACCAACAGTAAATGTACACAAAGTAATTGATAGTTTATAGCTATCAATAAAAAATAATAGCAACTTGTGACACAGTCAGTTTATTAAAATTATTCACTTGTACAAATGACCATATCAAAAGATAGCCAAGGAGTTGTCTGACGCTTTCTGTCATTGACTCATTGTGTATATTTTCTGAGAGTAATAAAATTTATTGGCAATACAGGCAATAACAATCGAAAATCCATTATGCCTTTAAAAATTCTAATATTTAAGCCTAGAGTATTCTACTACTTACCAGTATATTTGTATATAAATTTATGTGAACTATATTGTTATTATGTGTAACATATTGTTGTGTTTGGAGTTAGAAATAAATTAGTAGAGAATGGATGACCACCACTGCCAGCGCGCAGCCAGGATTTTCGAAATCGGAAATTCCCATTGCCGCCTGTAACACCCACCGCGATTCCGCGCTCGTTAAAAGAGCCGTCTTTTCAGCGTATAATCATCATTCTGTTACGTAAAATATTCAATCCATGACAACTACGAGATTCTAAAATATCTTTATATATTAATTTAATGTGTCCAACATAACTCGCGGTTGCTTTCTCTTACGTCAAAAAAAAACATTACTATTCGGTCCACGGCGATCTGTGACCTAAAATTGCGAGATAAACTGCCTGATGTATTTAATTTTAATATGTATTTTTGCAATATTGCCAACTCGTTATAGCCGTTAGAAAAATCTCAAATGATTATATAAAGTGTAGAGAATAATTCATTTCATACAATGAATATACATATAAAGTTTAGCAGTAAATTAAAAATACATATTCATCGCCGCGATTATGCCATCTGTTAAAAGAGTCCCTGCCTAGAAAAGCGTTTTTTAAATTTTCGCGGGCCTCAATAAAATTTATGTTGTTTACGGTTTTATTTTCAGTATTTTAAATTGCCGCTTTTCAATCAAAAAGTTGCGTTGTCTTTAGAAACTCGCCGCCGATGAACGTATTTACCAGATTCACAATTCCGTGCGCGTACAAAAATAAAATAAATGTTATCGTTATCATGGAACAAATTTGTTGAAAATTTTCGTTTTAGAGAAAATAACACAATCGTGAAGGCGTTTACGGGCCTAAATAACACGTTACGCTGATAAGTGATGAAAACAATCACGCGCAATTTCTAACGAGAATGTTTTCATTCAACGGAAACGTCTTGTAAGCGGCGTCGAAAATGTGTGACGTCACACAAATATCCGATATTCTTATGAACATGAATTCCGATATTCGAATGACGAGATATTCGAATACATTCGAATACTTTATTCGAATTGGCCATCCCTGAACACAGGTTCTCCAGAAGTATGCGCATCAAGATGTCGCACAACCTGAATCCTAACCGATACACACATACTATGTTCAGGTTGTGCGCTATCTTGGTGCGCATACTCCTGAAGGTCCAAAAGCTTTAAACTAAAATTTCTGCAACTCAGAATCGATTCCTCAGAAGCAGACAGTTGCAAAAGCATTTTTTGGTGATTTTAGTTGGGATGTTTTCAAATACTCGCTCTGAACAAGACACACAACAAGCAGGCACTGATACGTTAATTGAACGATTGAAATCTTTCTCACCAAACATTGACTATCAAAACATTTGATTTCTAGGTCAGGAGGAGGGCACACATTTGAGCCAAAGATGTTTTACATGTGCAAACAAGTAAAATATCCTCAGGAAACATATAATCAGTGGCACCTTGTTCAGAGTTGCCTTCACATAACATTTATTAAAAAAAATTTTAATTTTTCAAAAAAGAAATCAAACATAATATATCTATGATTGTGAGCAGAGTTAGAATATGATGACACTAACATATTACTGATACACAAAAAATCCCTTGATATGTAAGAGGTTATTTATGGAAAAAACAAAGGACCAACATTTTTTCAGGCAGAGCTTTGCTTGCCAATTTATATACATCGTTGGTCAGATCCTCGAATTGGGAATTAATGTGAAGAGAAGTAGCCAAACTACGTTGGCATCACAGGTTAAAAATCCTGGATTCAAGCACATTACTCAGTAAATATGAAATAGGTAGGAGTGTATGATAAATTAGGTGACAATGCAACCAGACAGATTTCAATACTACAATAAATAGTAGTAGTGCCTTGCGTATCAGTGGCTGCTCATACATAGCCCTGTTTGAAATAAAAGACATGACAAACGTTTTATAGAAAAAATTCATATGGTAAGTTTGTCATTTTAGGCGTTTGGAATCTTATAGTCGGACAAAACTATCAGACTTAAGATAAATTGTGATGATTATTGCCAAAATAAAACACCTAAATTACTATTCCATATAAATTCTTAAAATAATATCTTTTTCCGATATTGAATATATTTCAAATTGGGCCATGTCAAACAAGAGTCTGTGAAAATCACTGTACAATTAGAGATGTACCGATACCACTTTTGTCGCCGATCCCAGCTAAAAACACCAATAGCGATACGCCGATACTACCGATATTCCGATACCAAGTAATTGTTACTTAATTAGGTGTGCTGTGTAGGGCGGACGAGTTAAAACAATGGTCTTTGAGCGTTGTTCATAGTACACATTATTTCAGATCGAAAAAAAAAGATATATCACATAATATGAAACTAATGTTTGGTGTTTGCTTTAACTGATTAAGATACATTGTACAGTAACGCTAGTAATCTCAGTGTTCAATTAGAAAACTCATAAGCCGGGATGTCCAATTTGAATTTAATATATCGCGACCTTCGAATATCGTTATTCGTGTTTGAAAAAATATCGAATATCACCCACACATTCTAGCGCCGCCGTCCTACGTTCAAATTAAAAGCATTTTACAAATATTTTATTTCATGGCTAATCGTAATCGTCGATGCAAAAGTCAGAGCCAACATGAAGGAATATCAATCAGCACCGACAAAAAGTAGGCCAACCTATAACGTCGAGGATGATTTTTTACTATTTTATAATATTTTACAATTGCTATCATATATTTTGAGACAGTCTAGGGCTAGGCGGTCATGTCAATATATCTATAAAGTAATTGTGTAGTTAAAATACCTGCGTAGAGGGATAATTGTGTCGGAATTTAGTTTATCGATGTCGACGGACTAAATGACACTTGTACTTGACGACAGACAGTCAGAATTTAAACCTGTGCCAAAAGTGCCATGCCACATGTGCCGTTAATACGGACCCCAATTCCACCGTATGATTTAAAACTGGGCGCCTAGTTGCTTAATGTTATGTGCTGTGTTGATATATTTCATTGATTATGTAATAATAAAAATGTCAATATAAAAATTTGACAGCGAAAATAGCCAAATTAGTTGAGCTAGTTTGGCTGATAAATATGTTAGCTAAAAACATGTGAATCCTATTCTCTCGCGGGGGTGGGGACATGTATGGCTCATAGCTCACGATCTCTCCAGACAAAAAATAAATTAAAAAGTAGTATTCCAACTTATCTTTTAAAACATTCTGGACCATATTTCTTCAATAATCAAATGCTTTGAAAGACAAATTTTGAAATGAAACCTCAAATCAAGAATTTGCTCTATGTAATATAAACGATTGTGAATATATTCATTTATTTTGGACATCAGCATTGGTAGAGGTAAATTCTGCAAGGGGTCATTAAACCAACATAAAAAACTGCTTCCTGGAACATCGGAAAAAATTTCTAGAACATCTAAGCACTAAGGTATTGTGATGGCTTTGTGGTTATAGCATTGGACTTAGCTATGTTGGATCATAATTTGAAGGTCTCAGGTTCACCTAAGTCCCATGCCCACTGCCTTATCCAGGATGTAATAACTTGAGTAGGCATTGCTGAAACGAAAAATTTACATTCCATCCAAAAATAGCAGCTTCCTATGCATTAGTGGTTGCCTGTGCAGAGGCCTGTTTGAAGTGAACAATGTAATAACAAAGGTGTAATTTGCATTCAATTGCTATTTGGGGGCCAAGAAAATTGTATTTGGAAGATTTAACGTTAAACATAAAATCAATGTAAATTAAGACAACAAGAATCTTGGTTCCAGTGAATACATAATTTAATATTCAACCAACTGAAATCATTACATGACTCACATTCAGATTTCCAGCAGGGAATGAGTAGGTGATGGCATAATTGTTCCATCCATATCCTGGCAGTGATTCCCTCAACCAATCCACTGACATTCTTCCACCAGGTGGTTGTTGGTTGATGATTCTTAGACCAGATGAAGTAGCTTGACTTGAAGACTGAGATTCTGTAAATTGAAACATTATTTGATTGAAGGGGATTAGTAAGAAATATCATAATACTGGGCTATTATTATACATAAAATGAATTGATAGGGCATAAAAAATAAACAAGGTCATATTGTAATATTATATAATAAATAAACGAACAACTCTTTTGTGATTCTTGAATCCACGAAATACCTTAGCCCCCATGCCAATACTAGGCTCAAATTGGATATTATATTTTTATTTATGCTTTTTAAGCAGTATTGAATTTTTGTATTTGACGCTTATCTACGCCTCCGTACTGAACAAAGTCCTGTACAAGCAATCACTGAAATGTAAGGAACTGATAAGCCACTGATGTGTGAGAAGCTACTATTATTGGGGAGGAACAGCGTTGCCTACCCAACCCATTACACCTTGGGTGTGGTGGGTGAGGTGTGGAATTTGAACCCGGAAGGCGTAATCTGAAATGGCAACAGTTAAGCCTATTGCTTCAACTGTTACGTCATCACCCAGTGATCCAAATATAGTGTTTACTGGGTATTGGTTCATTCAGTTTTAACCTCGTTAGTTAGAAAACAGAAACGAATGAATGAAGTTAAGATGACCTATTTTCCTAATTATGCTAAATATTATAACAGTATTTATTTTATCTATGGATTAAAAATTATCACAATATTGTTCAGAATTATGTAAAACAATAAGCTAGACATGAACAATCCATAGTGAAATCAGACTCAGTGCTTACTGCTTACTTCAGTAATCTCAGTTATGAAACACAAATGCAGATTGTACCTGAAGTGTCACTCCTGTATCCACCCACTGCTCCCATCTGTGGTTCTTCGACATTCCTTGAGCTGTGAATACTTAATGCAGTGTTGCCCGGGGAAGTTACTGAATTTGCTCTAATACTTGTAGATGTTGGTTGCTGGACTGACTGATTAGAAGATTCTGAACTCTTTCTTGCCCGAGATAAAATTTCATCAAAAAGTCTATCGTAGCATTTACGAGAGTCATTGACTAAAGTTTCCGATCGGATGGTTTCTTCCACAAATTTTAAGGGAAATTTTTTTAGGTCAAGAAGGCTGAACAGTTCATGAAAAATCTTTTTCCTCCTTTGAAGATCATGCTTTATCCATCTAAGAGCTCCATGCCATTTAACAGTCTCAGAAAAATATTTTGTGTTTTGGGATTTGTAAATCCTTATGATGTCATCTTTGCTGATATCACAGAACTCTTTTTTCTCAATGATTTGTTCGAAATTTGCTTCCAGGAATCGATCCATGACATCTTTCACTGGATTTGGGTTGGTAACTTGATGAATTTCAGCCAGATTCTTCAGGATGAAGCAGTTGTCAATCTCAAGATTTGTCTCAAGATTCTTGACATCAGAGAATAATGCAGTGATGACTGAATTCTTTGCAATATCATTTCTTTTCACCAGTGGTTCTTCCAACACAGTCTCCAGAAGAAATTTGAAAGGATAAGTCTGGATATTGACGACTGTAACAAGATCGGCAAAGCATCTCTCTGCATTTTCATCTTTTGCTCTTGCCCATGTTATCATAGCTTGCCATGATGTTTGATAACCCACATTTGAAACTTTTATGTAACGCAGGAGATCTGGCTTGATAATGAACGGGAACATCTCAGAGGAAATTATTGATTTGAAATTAGTGATCAGCACCTGTTCTGCTTGTTCTTTTATATCATGACGATCGTACGCTTGAGCCAAATTGATGACAGAAAGACAATTGGTTTGAGATAGATTGGTTTTCAAGTAATGAAAGCAAAAGTTAGTCAAGCCAACCATTTGTAACAGGTTGGATGCTTGCAGGATTTGTTGAACGTATTCCATTTTCAAATTTCCTACTCCTTTATACATGAATTCTATACATTGGAAAATCCCATTCTGATCGACATCCTTCATATTGATAAAACCATCACGAGATTCCTTCATTTTGCTAGTAAACATCGCTCTAAAGTATCCTGATGAGGCTGCCAAGACACAGCGATGAGCACGGAAGGATTTGTCACCAACTTTGACATCAAAATCACAGAGAATGTTTTGTTCTCTCAAGCTATCGAGTGATGTCATAAGGAAACCAGCTTGGGTTGAATTTGTTTGTTTAATGTAATCTTCATTCATGATCAGTCAGCTCAACTTTACTCAGATCAGTAACTAAGTATAACAATCCTAATGCCTGCATAAAGATAATACATTTTGTTAATCACCGTGGATCATCTTCCAAACTAAAACTACATTTTATTATTGAACATAATAGATGATTTTGCTCATGTCAGCATGTTACTTTACGTTGCAGGTCTGAATGTCTTGGAAACTTATCAAATGAGAATTCTCGCCATCAAAAGGATGAGGAAATGTGACTTCTGAGTTGTTTTGATTATTTCCAACTATGGCCATGAACCTGGAATGTTCAATTGCTCAGAAACATCCTGTGGTTGCCGTTCTTACTCTCCTATCACATATCAGGATTAGTTTTACTCTTATTCATTCGAAGTATTTGAGTATGAGATAGTGATAGATTGGAATAGTCTACCCATGCTATATCATGTGTATATCATAGTTCCCACCTCAGATAATATATATCACGTTTTAATGCAGGTCAATTGCAATACAAGACTTCTAAACATACAATATAATTATTGCGGCCGGTGAAAGTGAAATGGCATTTTCTCGAAATCTTCAGTTTCATAGCTAAATAGGACAGATCTGTTTTGCAAAACGTGAGCTGTGCTGAAATGAGTGGGGATTCCCATAACTACTTCTCAAAAACAAAATAATAGATTGACAAAAAGTTTCCTTGCTAATATCTGAATATAGTACCGTAATAGGAAATAGATTATTAGGTCTGTAAGTTCATTCTGTCATTGAAAGTCAGCAAAATTCAAATTTGGCTCGACTATTATAAGTTTATTTCGATTCGATGAATGAACACCGTAGGCTATATAAGTATATTTTGACTATAATCAGAATAACAATAAAATGATTGATAAAAATAAATAAATAAAAACTGATTATGAAATCAGAAGAGCAAACAAAACCTTAGATAAGGTTTAAAACGTATAGAATTTAAGATGAAAGATTTTGCCAAGAAGTGTTACGTGTTCTCTCACCTAAAATTATTTTACACACGTAGGCTACCCACCGACACCCCCACACACAACCACAGAGAAATTAACAATCATAGTGACCGGTACCCGGACCGTACTCTGCTGATACACCGCATTAACTTATATTCAGTTGCATAGACTGATAAAGGATATTTCCACTGAACCGCATTCGCCCAACATACTGGTTGAATTACAATATAATTGCATGCATTCATTTATTGGTGTCTACAACAACAAAATTCGCAGGCTGATGTCTCATCCACGATAAACTTGAATTGACATCTATTACGCCACAATAATTAAATGAAGAAATGATCCTGCAAAATAACAATACTAATTCCTTTATCCTTGCAGAAGTCAATATCTAAGAATGAAAAAAAAAAAAAAACTTATAACCTTAGCAACCAACATACCTATTCCTATACCCTGTCTTTCTACCTTAATTAATTATAATTACTCATACCTATAAAGTTACTGATAGATTTAAATACTTATTACAATCTGGACTATAATTTGGCAATAATAGGCTCTAGTTTGGGCAATGAAGTGGTCTAGCCCACCTCTTCATCCACCCAATTCTGGCAACTTTGGTTGGGCATCTTGGCATTTGACTCCATCTATAATCAGCTTGACAATATATTTTTTTATAAAAGTTTATCTTTACTGTTCACTCCCATTTATAAAATTGATCAATTTGGCAGTGGCAATCATCATAAATTTATTAATATGGTGTGGCAAGTAATTTTTATTTATTTATTTTTTATTAACTACCAGTATGTAATTTTTCATGTTCCCTTTACGTAATAACTTCTATATGGTTGTGTGTGTGGGTGCGTGTGTGAAATATTTCAACCACATCTTCTTGGCAAAACCTTCCATCTTATATACATTCTGTACGTTTTAAACCTTATCTAAGGTTTTGTTCGCTCTCCTGATTTCATGATCAGTTTTTATTTATTTATTTTTACCATTCATTTTATTGTTTTGCTGATTATGGAGTCGAAATAAACTTATACTCAGTTTCTTTTTTTTTTTTTTTTTTAAATGGATCCACAATGTGGATTATTCAATATGTAAATAATAAATAAATGAAATAAAAATAAAGATATATTGTGTACCGTAAGTGAACAAACATATATACCAGTAATATCAAGATAATTCCATCAGATATAATATTCCATATAATCCAGGGAGTTCCAATTATTATACTCAGTTTCAACTGCAGCACATCGCAGTTGTGCAAAAATCTTAACATTTGCAACAGTGTAACTCTGACCTTTCACCTCCACTGTTCGTGTAAGTTGCCAAGCCGAGAGGCTTTAAACTGACAAATAAAAACGCTGATTTCAACTGATACTCATCTAATAAGCATGGTTAAAAAATTGTTTTAAGAAAAATATGTAAGAAAAATGAGTAAAAAAATGATGCACCCTGATATCACGTAACAATTCGAATAAAACGTCATTGCTTGTCTGTTTTGGATTACATCTGGCAACCCTGCTTTTAACCAAAAATTGTGCATATTTATGACGTCATAAATAAAAGAACTGTTTTGGGATTAATCATCATGATATAATAATTTCACCCCGAAGTATTTGCTAATCTATGCGAGCATGCCAGCATTGACCTGCTTCGACGCAAAGATCAAACATTTTCTGTGTGGGAGACAGTTCAGTATAAAGTATTGGATATGGATGTGGTGTTGCGGTCGTTCTGTGGAATATTCAAATAGCAAAGGATCGCGGTCTCGAATTACTATGCATTGAACTATTTATTTTCTACAGGCACACTAAAAGTCAGGAACGCTGGGGCACATAAGCACAGGTCAGTGTAAGATAGAATTTCTCGCTATTTATTGCAGGGTTGTTGAACCGGATAAGACTTA